TGCAGTAATTTCTTTTTAGTGCAGTTAACTAGCATTTTTAAGAATTTAAATATTTATATAGAACTCTGATCTCTAAACATTATTTGTGGAATTATTTGTAATAAGATAAATTCTTATACAAATGATCTACATAATATATTTTTAATATTAAAAATATTTGAACAGAAACTAAACTGAAGTTACAATCTTTCTACGTTTTCTAACCTCTAATTCATGGATATGGAGTATCTCACAAATTCACTTCTCAAAAATTAACGTTTGTCGCTTTTGTGAAATGTATATTAGAACGTCTAAATACATTATCGTGAATGATCCAGAATGAACAGCGGACAGACTTATTATTTCGAATAAAATATAGAATGGAACACAACCATATAAGGTGCTTACATTTAAAAATATCTAAACTTCAGTTAAGACAACATAATAATCCCCAAGTATTAATAATATAAATAAATGTAATAATGTAATATTTGTATTAATAAGGTATTAAATCTCAGAATGGTTACAGGCTCTTCGGGGAGGTATGACGATCTAATGTCAATTATTGCTTAGTCTGATGAAGTGATGAACTATAATCCAGTCAAGGCGTAAAGAGCGGTTTTGAAAATACCTCTCAAGTGCACTGGCTCAAATAGCTTCAACATAATAAGATATAAGAGATTTTCTTTTTTATATTTTTATGTAAGAATTGGTGTTGTTAGCTGGCACTTCTGCTTATTTTAATCAGTTTTTTTGCTGTTATCTAAGGACTTTTGATCACATTTGTCGTGCTTGAAGCTTTATCTCATTTTTTAACGGTTTTAATTCTATTAGTTAACACTAATATCGCTTTAGGTTATTTAACTATTTATTTATTAAAGCTAAATATCAAATAGATGCTTACGAACATAGAAAGAAGAAATTAACTCATAATAAGATTAGGTTACATTGGAGTGGCGGTCTTGTGCACCAAAGTTCATTTTAGCGCAAATATCAAGTAGATGCTTGTAAATATGGAAAGATGAGGTTAACTCGTAATAAGATTAGGTTACATTGGATTAGCGATCTTATACACCAAAGTTAATTCAAATTAGTATATGGATTGTATTGGTACAGGTTTAATTACTTTAGTAATTCTTTCAAAACTTTTAGAAATCATTTGAGCCATAACAACATTGATTTACATAATATTCATCTCAAATTAACGCAAAGATACATATCGTATTTTTACTTTTCAAATTTATTTTATTTATATAAATTTAAATAAATTTAGTTTATAAATATTTAAATAATTAAAGTAAAATTATTAAATTATAAAATTCTTAACAATTAGCCAAAAAGTCTATGTAAAATAAATTAGAAATCAAATAATAAGACTAATTAAGAAACACTACAGCATCATGCACATCCATCTTCATCCTTTCCTTCAAAGTCAGTTTATTTAAAAAATGTCAAATAAAAGATTTTTATCAAATTTTTCTTTGATTGCAACTAATTTTTCCCTTAAATCCTTTATCGAAACAATGAATGTCTTCTACTTAGTAAATCATTTATTCAAATTTCTTTTTTGTGTTTCGCACCCAGATTTTTGGCTCCTGACCCAATACATTCGGTGATTATTTGCATTTATCTGTTGGTTAAGATTTTTATTCCTTAATTACATTCAGTTTTTCAAGTTCCTCTTATTGTCGCACAATTACTTAATCCACGAAAAATTATCACCTTTTTTTGGTAAATAATTTTTCAATTTTAAACAAAAGAGTTTCTCCCAAACTCAATGAGAATTCGTAATTAATTTGGAGAAATTATCATCAGCCAAATTACAGGTTAAAAGACCCATTAAATAAAAAGCACGTTTATGAAGGCACAACAATTTTAATTTAATTTTGTAGGTGTTTCACTTAATTTGATTAATATTTTAAATTACCTGGAATTCATTTACGAAACTGTTGACAGAGGAGGATGAAATATATCATCTTATCATATTTTTTAAATGATTTTAATATATTCTAAATAAATTTAAATAAATATAAGACTATTAGATATTATTTTATAATAAATCGCACGTTATTAGCACTAATTATCATAAGTTCACACTTATAAGTTCGAGAAACACGATTTATTTGCGAATAACAAAATTAAAACTTTAAGGACTTTCGCCTTTTCGAGAAATATATCCAAAATTTCATTTCAATCTTTCAATACAGTATTTATTAAGACTACGTTTGAAGTGTCAGTTTATATTTCAATAATGGAAAAATTGAATATCGGACAGAGATTAGTAGGAAAAGATTAAAGAAAATGGGTATTCATACTGAAATGATAAAAATGTTAAGTAAATCTGCTTCTTTTGAAAATAAACGCCGTGTGATTAAGAAGTGTTAAATAGTAGCATCAGAAGGCATCAATAATATACACTACATGGTGTTCGAAAATGTTTGACTAACTAGGAGAGATTTAGTTAAAATTCTATGCAATTCATTAGACACAATTAATAATATTTCAAAAAGCTATGTCTGGAATAAGTGCCATATTCCATAACAATAGACATTCTACAAAAACACTTTGAAATCTACTTTGTCAACACCTTTCGAACAAAAAGAGAGATTCTATAATTTATTTTTATAATAGCTTCTTATATTGGGTTCATCGTTGCATCACTAAAAGTGAGTTCTAGACTTTCCATTATGAGCCTTTATCAAAGCAACGTGCTAAAAGTAGAATAAGTTCGATTCTACGAACCCCAAAATTATAAAATCTTCTGCTGACCAAAGATGGACAGTGACACATTAGATGAAACTCATTTACGCAGGCTAGCGAAGAAAAAAAAATTTTTTTAATGTTTAACCAGCACGGGGACCCTACCCTGAAGTATTCTCAATAAAGTTCCTGGGGAGATACGGTCTGGCATACGAAAGGGATTGTTTTTAGTCCATGCATACCGGGCATACATATTGTGACGGCAAAAAATTAGTTAGGTGATATTAATTTAGAATAGAGTTTGGACTTATTTATTTTGTATTTAAACTTTAAACTCTGCCCTTAATGTATTTTTATGGTAAAGTAATTATTAATCAATTCCGAATTCCACAATAATGAACTTCTTCTTTCTTATTTAAGAGTCCTCATCCTTATATCCATTCTTTACAATTTAACACATCAAACATGAAATGAAGCTTTATTACGCTTCATTAGAATAATTCGCAATTATTCATTTTAATATGAATTGAGAGTGATTTTTCATTAGTCGATACATTAATTCAAACAATATTTGATTGAAACTGAAAGGAAATCCTTTTTATTCATTGAAATTCTTTTGAATTTGTGAAACTTCTCGGCACTTAAAAGTCTTTCAAAACTTAAATTTTTGCACTGATTGATTTCATCATTGAAATGATGGAATCCTTGCATTAAAAATCCTCACCAATCCTTACCAACTGACGTTGATGGATTCACAAGGGCAAAGGCAGAACGCAGGCATTTATTCAAATCCATGAAGTACCAACTGCTTAAGTGAAAGACGTTCTTATTTACAATATTACAATATTTCTGGTAATCGTAGCGTTAAAAATCACAACCCTGTAGGGCAACAAATATTTTACTTACGAGTATTTTTAGTTATTTCTGGTATTTTCACATTTTCACATTTTGAGTTTTTTTGTATTTTTGCAGAATTTATGAGTTTATCAAGGACGAATTTTATAAGCCACAAGCACACGACAGCAGTTGAATATCGGCTTTCTATTCGCTGCTATATAATATATATATATCTGACATTCATATATATCATATTATATGTATATAAATGTATAAATAGTATACGGAATCACAGTTTGGCACGGATGTGGAAGTGGAAAGTGGAAAGTGAGAGTGAGATTTGTACCGAATATTGCTATAATCAGAAAATAAAGGGTCGCTATCAAAATATAGTAAATTACAAACACGCGCCTGTGGCTCGCCAATTTTTAATAAAATATTTCCATAGTTTTTATGGCATTTCCATTTGTTTTTATAAAATATTTTCATAAAATGTGGCAAAAGGATGCAATTAAATTAATGTTTTTCGGTGTTATTGCATATATTTTTAAAATAGCATTTATATAAATATTTTTAAATTTCTATTTCCAATTATTTTTATTAATATTTGCAAATCCTTTCAACTGTAAATATATTTTTATTTATTATTAAATTCTTATTATTAAAAAATATTCACAAAACGTAGTATTCAGTGTTAAACCAACAGCCGTAAAGATAAACACTTTTTATATCAGCTTAATTGAATTATTTATTGAAATTATAAATTTTTTTTTTTTGTGTTTTTAAGTAGAATATACAGTATAGAATATGCAAATAATTTAATTAACCAAAATTCTCATTTTAATTACAGATTCATTCAATTAAAATTCATGTAAGGAAACGGAAACAGTAACAATAATAGTCACACCAGCGCATATTGCCTTCTCCGCACATCCATGCTATCAGAAATTTTCGTACAGATTCAATGGAAATAATGTTGCCATTCGAAATGGCACGGAAATTCCTACTATTACCATTGTTGATAATGATGAATTGCGATGCGGAGTCTTCTTCTACTATTTGCATTACAAATTGCAATTATTTTTGCAATCATTTCAAATTTCAATCATAATTCATTCGTTATTATTGAAAACGTGATGTGCCCGTAAATGTAAAAATGCTGTTGGCGCCTTATGCATACAAAATCGGGAAACAAACAGCAGTTAGCAGACAAACAACGACAATCGCACTACTTCAGAAATTATTATGGCCCTTTATACCTCTAAAAATTGAAACAACAACAGCAACAGCTACAGCAACAACAAATACAACAACACCAAATTCAGTGAAAAATAATTCAATTAAAGTAAAACTTGCTATCCAACAAATACATAACATAGTAGCAATAAGCGCATTTCTCAACCAACATAAAGAGTCCTTAGTCAATTTAGATACAATTTTTGTTAGTTACGCCCATTACCAATCGTACGTATGACAAATACACAATGTCAACGCTGTATCATGTTGCTGACTCGGATTTGTCTCTTAGCAGCACTTACCCCAATGTGGAAACGGCAGCTGCCGAAACTGATGCTGCTTTAACGACATTTGATTCTGACTTGGATGCCAGTACATTTGATATTGATTTCACATCAACTGCACTGACAACCACAACGGCAACTATATCAGCAAGGAACGCTAGTTTTTTGTTGCCCGAATTGTCGAATTGGACAAATACAATAGCAACAACAACAGCAACTGCCATTTCGAGTGCAATACCAACAACGGCTGTGGCAGCAACAACAGCAGCGAAGTCAGCAATAGATACATTTAAAGATACTCTAATACAAGCACAAACAGCACTAACAACGACAATTCCATCAGCAACTCCAGGAACAGCAACAACAAGTATAGCAGCAGCAATTAACAGTTCGAATGTTCATCCAACCTTATATCCATTTAATGGCACAAACACAAACGATAGCACAGATATCCTTGAGGATAATTGGTTCAACTTGTTGCTTCTCATATTGAAAGGATTTATATTTTCGTCCATCATCCTAGCAGCAGTACTTGGAAATGCTTTGGTTATTATATCAGTGCAACGTAACCGAAAGTTACGGTAAGTCAATCAAAACGTCGACAAATGTCGTTTTCGGTGGAGATATTCCGTACTTTTCCTAGTCGAAAGGTCAGTCAGTTAATTAAATTCCAGTTTGCTAAGATTTCAGGACTGATGAAGTCGATCATTTGAAAAAAATCTCATGTTTTTTTAGATAAGAAAAAATAGCAAAGTAATCCGTTTTAACGAAGCAGAAAAATAAGTATACATAGAATGAAGTAAAGACTTAAGTAACTAGTTTCATGTGATTTCTAAAGAAATATAATTTAAAAAATGTTTATCACTATTTAAGTGAAAAAGAAATAATTTTTTTTATAAATTCCTAGAATTCAAATTTTTAACATTAATCCCTGTAAATATACAAAGGTTACCAAGTGTTTTTAAATAAAACTTTTCATTCATTTCAATTGTAATTTAAAGATATGTCAACGACCCATACAAACATAGAAATTATCTCATATCATCTCTCTCATATAATAAGAGATCCACAGATAAGCATAACGTTACTGTTTTACACCAAATAAGGCTACAAAGTCAAGAATATAACTCAGATTCATACACCTAAATTTTTAATCAACATTTCATATTGTCAATTTTTAATAGTATTTT